TATATATATATATATATATATATATATATATATATTATGTATATATTATATGTATATATATATATATTATATATATATATATACACATATATATATTATATATATATATATGTATATATGTGACCTATCTGATCTGATGGCTTCTCTCAGTGTTGAAACGAACGACAAGGAGCTGCTCAAGTTGGCATCAGTTGTTTTCTTCAGCATTTCTGACAATGGGCATCGAGGTAAGTTCAGTCTCTGGCATAAACAAGCTCCTGCAAGGAGGAGCCATAATGTTACCGTGAGGGAAATTCCCACCACACTTTCTCACGGACTAAACATTCTTAAACACGACAAAAACGATAGAATAGCTGAACTAACGTGACCTAGATTAAGCATATTTCAATAATATCCAAAAACTAAGACCATAAACATATTCTATAAAATGCATAAATAACATTTCTTTATCAAATAGCAGAGACACGTTACCTCGTCAGTGATCCTCATGGCTCTGAGGATTACCCATAATACCCCACTCTTTCTATGGTGAATGTAATATAACTTTTTACCAGCAGATGGTGCATTTTAGCAGGATTTAACCTGAACCATTTTAACTATACATGCATGCTACATGCATACATGCATATATATATATATAATATATATATCTTAATAAAAATGTATCAGTGACTGTGAGTTCTGCAAAACTTGTCATAAGAATATTTTATTAGTGTTAATGTTAACCTCACCAGGAATTTTTAAATACACTGAACCATGTGTTCATCTTTAATGTCTGTACTCCTAATTTTTACAGAGGAAAAAATCCTGAGAATGAGTTTAGTATCAGCTCTGACTGATTAAACCACAGATTCTTCATTGGTCCTGACAAACAAGTTACACTGAGTGGAGCGGTCGACACTTCCAAGATGGCGGCCCTACGGCTCGTCAGCGCCAATAGGCGATAGCGGTCAATGCTGGATCTAGTGTTTATATCTATGATCATCACCCCCGAACGTTAAAGATGTGTAAGACTGGGCGGTGTGAGGCAGCAATGACGTCACCCTCTTGCGCCGCTTGCAATTGCCAATTCAGATTGATTTTTGGAACACTTTTTGAAGGGGTGGGGCATGAAAACGAAAAAGCAGTTGTGTTCTTAGTTTCCTCTAGTTGTGTTACACAATGAGCAGTCTTGAAGAAGAAAATTAAAATTATTTATTTTTTTATTTTATTTATCATTTTATTATTTTTATTTTTTTAGTCAAAAAATGCAGCTTGACTTTGAAATGAAAAAGCAATTCTATTAATCCATTTTAATTTGATTTATGAGACATAATGGCTTCCATAATAGAGAACGTGTGTTACTTTTTATTTAATTTAATTGGTACAATCAGTGTTTAAATGTGATTTATAAATAAATCTAACACAAAGATAATAATTTAATGATTAAGCTTCAACTTTTAATTTGCTGGCAAAGTCTGAAGACACTGCAGGTATGGCAGGATGAATTGCATTTAAACAGGAATTAAAGTCATTTATTACATCTACTCAA